GTATAACACTAACACCTTTGTTATGACATAAATAACACGTGTGTTAATTTAAGCCAACTAAAATGCATTTAATTAGCCAATGTGGGACTAAAACTCACATACTACTAATTAAACACATTTTAATTTTTATCTTTGGAATCCAATCATTAAATGATATATTTCCATAACACCCCTCTAAGATTCATTTATTTCAACAATCCCCCACAATTCCATAGCTGAAAGTAATAAAGATTTTACATATCATCCTTTTGGAGAAGGTATCTTCCAATTTGAACATTCCCTATAGTTATCCAATTTTATCACCACGAGCACGAAGTAAAACTATATCTTGAACTTGAACCTTTGATATGGTGATATTCATTGGTAACAACATGATATAGGCTATAGAAGCAATCTCTAGGTTTGATGCATTATGGTCATGCATCCTTATCCTTTTCATGAACAATTTCAAGAAATAACCTACTTCCTCTAATTGCGGCCACACAATTACAATCATATAGTTGGTCATCTCTAGGGATGCACTGCTTGCATCTTGTCTTAAAGACTTGATGCCATTCAGAGTCGAAACACTCTTACTATATTAGCAGTTATAAACACCTTCTAGGTATACATGATGATAGACTCAGATACAAAGTATCAATCTATGAGTATGTGTTCAATTCACCCAACAATTTGTTATTATCACATTGAACCTACTTTGTGGGATCTCCACTCAGATAGGTTGGGTTGCTACTATTGATGAGTTAGGTAAGGGTTTCAGTCCCATCATCAACCTGGATTTTTAACGACTAGTGACAACTCTAGTCCTTTTGTGAAGGGATCTGCTATGTTGTCCTTGGACCTAACAAAGTCCACAACAATTATCCCTTCATCAACAAACTTCTTCACAGTCTTTTATACATATTTGGATATGACCTCGTTTTGTGGTTATACTTTAAACTTTTAATTCTTGTAATTATGGTCATATTGTCACAATACACAGAAATTGCAGGAATAGGCTTGCTGATCATGGGCAAGTTGGACATAAGTCCCTTAAGACATTCAGATTTTAAACCAATAGTATCCAAAGCGCAAAGTTCTACCTTAAACGTAGACTGAGAAAAAATGGTCTGTTTGACAGATCTCCCGAAGACAGCGCCACCATCCCAGGTAAATACATACCCTGTACAACCATTACTACCTGAACTCATAGCAATCCAGCTAGCATCACTGTATCCCTCCATAACGGGAGGGAATCTATCGTAATGCAGTGCAAGGGAAACAATTCCCTTCAGATACCGAAGTATCCTATCCATGGCCTCCCAATGAGTCCTATTTGGACAGCTAGTGTATCTACTTAATTTAGAAACCGATAAGATATATCCGGTCTCGAATAATTTGCAAGATACATCAAGCTTCCAATAATCTGAGAATATCTCCATTGAGAAACCGAAGTATTCTATTTTGAAAATATATAGCTTATAAAACGCAACACTCTAGAAACATAAATTTTTGACACTTTATTATGACAAAGTTTATACCTTTTAACTTTGACGTACAAAATTTTGCTTTTGACACTTCGATACCCCAAACTTGGGTTAGAGTACCAATGTTAAAAATATGTAAACTTTAAGGTATAAAAGTAAAAAAAATACAAATCTTCAAAGATTCGATATTATCTGAATGAAAATAGAATGATTTAAAAAACTGCAGATGCAAAGATATAATAAACTAAATGGTAAATTGCACATATATATACCTTCAATCAACTCATTTATTAGAACTTATCCCCCTCTCAATTCTTAAGGGCCTTAAGAGTGATAAGTGCTAATAAATAGCTTAGAGGTTAAGTGGAACTAAAGGTATAGATGTGGGGTTTATATACAATTTATCTTAAACCTAAGTTTACTTTAAGTGTAGTAATTTTAAATTTTGAAGATTTTGGACATTGGCTAGATTTAAAATAACTTTAAGAATATTAACTATTGTCTCAATACATATTGACCGTTACTGTAAAAGTTGCATATAAAACTTAATTTTATAAATATAATATTTATTAATGTAATTTTTGCATATATAAGACATAGAATATTTTTGTATACGTACTCAATTAAATTTGGCACGTGCCCCTACTTACTAGTTTTAAGAAAGATGAGAATATGGACCACACGGTGCACATCAGTAACCAATTTGAATTAACAACGTAGCAAACAAACTAAGTATCTTGCCCAAATTTTCAAATCTCTGCTACAAAACAAGAGGCAAAATCAACGACTTTATAAAATTTCAGAATAGCTATTGTTCGCATCAGACTTGAAAATATCATTTAAAAGATGTACGTACCTAATATTCTACTAGGTTTCCAAATGCTAGAAGTTGTTGCTCAACTTATCATAATAGAATATGTGACATGACTGATAGGGAATCTTAATGATAATTCAAAGAGCTGGGTTGGGTTTGGCCCACAACCCATATCGAACTAGCCTGCTGGGTTGGGTTTGACCCAACTTGGTAGAATTAGGGTCAGGCTTGGCTCGCCTCATTCTCAAA